GGTATGAGTGCTATTATTTTAATTTCAGTATCTTTTAGAGGAGAGGCTGTAAAGGTAGTTTCAGTGGTTTTGTGTGATTCATTTTGAGCCATTTACCAGAATTTAACTGGTTGACAAGTCATATTTCCTCTTAATACAAACATCTTCCTGAGAGAGTTTAATTGTCTTTTGTGTGTATGAAAGGGTCCTTAGTTAAAGTATGTGCTATGAAATACCATAAAAGGCAATATTTTGATGTATTAATGATGGTTCATGACATTCAAATGCTTGTAAGATCCTAGCATGTTCACACAGTCAGCTGTAAAGTATTGTCAAGTGTTCAGATTACATTGGTGAAAACTATCCAAAAAGTAGCAGTATGCTGTGTGTTTATCTTACTCAACAGCCTAGCTGGCACATTTGCAGTCTAGCTCTGTGATTTCCCGAGCATCTGTTCCATGCATTCAAGGCTTGCACTTTATTGGATGCACATGGTGACATTCACACTAATTACTAACATCAGTCCGACATCTTTGGAATTGCGATCTGCATTTCTTGTTACGCTGATTTCCAAACCAGCTGGTATGTGGCTCTGTTTGTTTGGATTTATGTCTGGACGTTAAGTCAAAAAACACATCTGCTCCTACTCTTGTTTGAACAAAGTCCACTACAAAGATTGGTTGTTGACCTCTCCACAGGAGAAGGTAATCATCGGAGTGGCCTATGACTGTGTGGAGAAAATGGTCTACTGGACAGAAATCACTTCTCCCTCAATCAGCAAGGCCAACATCCAGGGGGGAGAGCCCATCACTGTCATTGGATCAGGTAGAGACTGTTCACTGCTCCCTCATTCTACTGGTACTTTTCAGTTTCTGCCATTTATAACCAATGAGACATGAACAACATGTAACCTCTCGACAGATTTGCACAGTCCAGAGGGTATCGCCATCGATCATTTGGGACGAACTATGTTCTGGACGGATTCGGTGAAGGATCGCATTGAGGTCGCCTCTCTGGACGGGACCCAGCGTCGAGTCATTATAGACTCTGATCTCGTCAACCCCCGAGCTATTATCACTGATCCTCCCAATGGGTCTGTAAAACTTTTACACTTTATCAACTTATTTTTTTTTATCATAGAAACTTTCTTAAATTTAGTTGTACTGATAAAAGAACATTTGAATTGATTGATTGTCCCAAAAAGGACACTTTGCAAAATTCTGTGAAGCAAAGACAAAAACTGAAAAATAATCCCAAACCCATGACACAAAATTAGACAATGGTCTCACCAGAATTATTATTTTTTATTTATTTATAACTATTTTCACTTTTGGCCTTTTGTGGCTGCTTCCAAGATTTTTTGGCTTGCAGGGACTTTCCTGTAAATGTCTTTGCAGCCATTCTCTCTAATCTATTCAGGATTAAATGACATTAATGAATTTTGATTGGCTCCTGTTTGAGAGTAACATTTAATAGCATAAGAGTTACATTCACAATTATATTCACATTTAGTAAAAAACTGTGAGGTAGTTATATTTCTGGCTCATTGTTGTTTATTGTTCAGTTTGATGGTGAACTGATTCCACATGTGTTCTTGTATCAGTAATCTCTATTGGTCTGACTGGAACCGCGACGCTCCCAAGATCGAAACCTCTTACATGGACGGATCCAACAGGAGGGTGCTGGTTAAAGACGACCTGGGCCTGCCGAACGGCCTGACGTATGACTCTCAGAGCTCTCTGCTCTGTTGGGCAGATGCAGGTAGACTTCAGACAGATGACTCATGTCTGAAATTATGTCTGACTTGTGATCTGCATTAAGTGTAATCTCTCGCCTGCAGGCACACATAAAATGGAGTGCATGCATCCTGACCGGGGTGACCGCAGAAAGGTTATGGAGGGGATTCTGTACCCTTTCGGAATTACTTCTTATGGGAAGAACATCTACTACACTGACTGGAGGAGGTTTGACTTATTTTGTTATCATAAACTAGTTTATTTAGAGCAGGTTTTTACAAACAACTGTAATGATTCAGACAGGTATCTAATGTTGCTACGTTAATCTAAACAGTTTGATGTTTATAAATGCGAGCCAAAGGTAATGGAGCATCAAGGAGTTAACGCAGCATTAATCCATGAGTCACTGTGCTATGTAAGAGTCCAAATTTGTCAAGGTAGAGGAAGGAGAGGGTGGGTCAGAGGTCGAAAAGCTCCCCACACTTCAAGCATAGGGCCTTGATGTTCTCCCAGACTCGGACACTCCCACCCTGAAACTGTGCAGCTTTCTTCCCATGCTTCTGTATGTTAGCCACTACAAGACGGCGGGGGGTTGGGGCATCTGTTTGTGTGTGTGTGTGTGTGTGTATGCATGGAGTGAAGAGGCATCTTGAAAAGTGGCAGCTGCTTGCAATTTCTCAGCCTCAACGTCTTTTAGTGACCTACCCGGGGCCTCCCTGTGATCTCGCCAGGGCTGTAGCCTTGCTGGAGGAGGTTGAGAGGTGATGGTGGTGGGGGAGGGACACCCTCCAACCTCCAACAGCAAACGGCAAACTATGCCAGCTATGGCTGAGAAACCCACTCTGTCCCTTACTCATTCTTGACAGACTTTATACAAAACACAAGGAGGCAGGATACAGACATTTCTCAAGCTGGGTTTGTCCCTGATTTCTAAACTCTTGTGATGATTGTGTTTACAACAGGGATGCCGTGGTTGCGGTAGATCACTATGCCGGCACGGAATCAGACGAGTTCCAGCCTCAGAAACGGACCAAGTTATATGGGATCACCACAGCCTATGCCCAGTGTCCTTCAGGTATTAAACCAGTTGCATGTGTTCACTTTTAAGACCTTGGGTGCTGTGTTTTAAAGTTTTGAAATGTTTCTTACATGTTCAAAACCATGTTTTCATGTCTGTAGTAGTCTTTGTATTACATCTGACACTGATACACACCCAGTAGAGAAGCATTCTTAGAAATAGATGACCTGTGCTCACATGGGGGGCTACCTTTATAATCCAGTGAATTTGCTCTTCACAGCAGAGCAGCCCAGTGTCGTGACCCCTGTGCTCTCCGTGAAGCATTTTGAGAGTGGAGAAATCCCAGGTTCACTCCGCTTGACTAGAATGTGGAAGGAGGAATTCTGTGGCTATAGTATTCATTATTTAGTGGAGAGATGACTGATGTTACTGTGCAGCACCAGGCCTCATCCTCCCCTGTCGATAAGGCTGCATGTGTAAAGCCAGAGAATGTGGAGCCGAGGGAGCGGGGCCCCAAACATCTGGAGTTTGCTATGTGTTTCTTCTGAGTGTGCATGTATCTGTTTAACAAATAGTGAAGAGGCTTTCCTGCTGTTCCTCGCAGTGGTGGCTTATGATTTATACAAATGCGCTGACGATGAGTGCTTGTGTATCTTCTACTTCTGCCAGGACAAAACTACTGTGCTGTGAACAACGGGGGCTGCACTCACCTCTGTTTAGCAACCCCCATCGGCCGATCCTGCAAGTGTCCCAGCAACGCAGTGGGCGTGAACTGCGTGGAGAGCGACAGCGGGTACTGACGTGAGGTGGCCCAGAGATGACGTTGTTTGGATGTTTGACAGCAAATTAGGAGCCACTCAGCATTACTAAACTATAGCTGCTGAAAATGCCACTGTAAACCAGAGGTGAAATTACTGTGCCTGTTTATTTCTCAGTGTTATGCTTATCTACAGTTTTTTACATTTCCCATATGCCTTTATAAAAATCACATTTTGCCTTTCAGAATTGTAAATATAAACACTATTATGTTGACTTATTTCTTTGAGTGCACATAAACTGAGAATAAAGCTCAAGGGATACATAATTTAATGTGAAATACATCACAGCAATGCATGACATCATCTCATGTTTAGCTGATCCCATAGGTTGTCTCATGGACGTATTCATGTGGAATATGACTGTAAGAGTCTGTTACAAACTGGTGGGATGTGTTTACATGCTGGGCAACAAAAGAATAAACATTTTTCTAACATGTGGGTCTGCTGTGTCTGTGGTTTTAGTATAACAATAGCAGCACCGTGTGTTCAGTAGAGTGTATTACAAATATTATACGTACCATGCAGCAGAAATTGCGAAAGGGATTATTTTGTGGTACATACTGGTTGAATATACGACCAATCTGAAGTAGATTTGTGTGTAAAAATATATAATTTCTATATATTTATACGGTTAGATTTGCTAACCTTGAATGGATGGATTCAGTTAATTGTTTGTATCTTAACTTTTATTTTAAATCATATGAATTATAATTTCTTTGCTTCCCTTAATGTTTTTACTGCACCAAACTTTGGTCAACTCTGATGGTTGTAAAAGCGCTTCATAAAACAAACATGTGGTCGATTTACGATGACCTCAAATGCACCACCACTCCCCTGAGCCAATGGTTTTGATTGATAGGTGAATAATCTGCACATTGTCCAATGGGAGGAGGAGAGTGGGTGAGTGGGCGGGTCACCGGCTCAGAGCGCCTGGTGGACATCATGGTGTCTTTACCCTCAAACTTGTCTGCCAGGAATATTTTACCCTGACCACCAACAAAAACAGGAACATCTAACTTTGGGTAACTTCATTCACACTCTCCGCTCCTTGCTTTCTGCAAGAGAACAAAATATTAAATTTTAGTCACACATTTGTTGCAGCATCTACAATTACTTTTCTGTGGTGTATTTGTGCAAGTATAAATATAATATATATTAAAACAGGAAACAACACTAAATATAAAATACAATAAGCACCAGAGGAGGGATTGAGCAATACATTGTCATCTATTTGAGATCCTCTTTTTTTTCTAAACATAATTGAGGTTAATCCAAAAATGTAAGTGGAAATGTAGATGTCTCACAAGCCAAACAAACTCAAATCCAAGCGGACACAAAGTAGTTACTAACAATCTAACGTGAGTCGTGTTTCCTCTTCCTCCGTCAACGTGCAGGAGGAGGTAAAGTCAGCAGACAAGGAAAGGGGCGGCAATGTGTTGGTCCTGCAGTCCCCACTGAGGGTTTATTGACTCACACGCAGCAGTAGTCTGCCTGACGGAGGCTAACATTAGCTGGCTCTAATTTAAACCAAGGTTTGTATGAAAATTCATTCATTCCGCCCGGAACTTGACAGTGTGAACTGAAGGAGGCCGTGTTTGTGGAGGTCGGTCTGTTTATTTTATCTAACGACGTGTTCGCTTCTCCCCGCCACAGTTTTGACAGCTGCCATCCACAGTGCGATGCTACAGCTAACATCAGCATCGTTAGGGAAACCACTTTAACCCCGGGATACGCAGCTCTCTAAAGTGGACATGTTGTGGGGCTCGTTGGGTTTAGCAGCTTTGAGGCTAGAGAAGCATCCATGGTAAACATTTTAGAATAAAATATATCGAGCTTTCTTGTATTTTGCGGTCAAGCTAGCTAAACAAATAACACGGCTGTGGAGCAGTGCTTTCAAAGTAAAACTCCAATCGCAACATTTTCTGAACAGAACTGAAAACGGTGTCAACACATGCTATAATGAAAAAATCGTTTTAATTAACTAGTTGTTAAGGAATAATAGGTTCATTTGAGAATGTTCTGTAAGAGTAAAATGCATTTAGGTCCCAGAATGAATGGTTTAGTGGTTAAACGGGTTTAAAATACATATTATTTAATTTACAAATATACATTTGTTTAATATGATGTAATCCTTGTTCATATGAGTTAAAGCTATTTTATGTTTAACACATGCATCTAAAAATATGCATGTAAAATATATTTAACACTATTACTGTAAAGAAGAGAGGGTGCATTTGTTTAATTAGTCGCATCCAAAGCATTAGTGCTCAGTGGCTAGGAAAACCTTCACTGTAAGTAGACGGTAACCATCAAAGTATAGTGTGTTATGCGGATTTCCAGTGAGATTATAGTCTTAAATATAATCCAAGTCTTAGTTACCCACAAATTCTATTCTACTTTTATTTTGAAATCAAATCTTGCACCGGACATGAGTTGTTCGGACGTGCCTGGATGTTGACGTTATGTCACGAAGCTAGCTAGCTAGCTGAGTCCGTTTTGTTTTGGTAATGCTACACCGCTGGTGTGGATGAAGTTTCTGTTCACGTCAGGCTCAGGTGCGTCACATGCAGCAGGACCTCTGCATCTCTGCGCGCGGATTAAACTGTGTTGTCGCTGACTGTTCTCCTGCAGATCTCCAGTTTAAAAGTGGCAAAGCTTTGCAGTGAACGATGACTCTGCTATGAAAGAGTCAGGAAGCCGGGGCTTCGCTCGGTGCTGTCCGGACCACTTCCAGTCACCTGGAGGATCAGAAAGGAAACCTGAAGAAGGCTGACATCTCTGACTCTGCCCTGGCTGGTGTTGCACCTGGACGACATGGCAGGTCCACAGCAGACTGAGCTGTCATACGCGTGGGAAAAGTACATGGACTGTAGACTTCAAGGAGTGGATCTGCAGGTAGGCACTCAATAGGCATGGGGGTGATACAGCCTCACATCAGGGCTCCGTGTCTGGGTGGTGATGATTCCTTTTCATTTCCAGGACCATAAGCTAGTGGTCCAGTAAGAAGCCTGAAGAATACTGACATTTTAATGTGGAAAAGTCTTGTACACAGTCGCACCTCTCATTCAAATAAAAAAAACTATTTGTTTTCATCATGTTTTATCAAATAATCTTTAGGATTTAAATGATTTCACCTTTTTTTTTTGCTCAAATTGATACACTGAGGCTTTGTTGTCTGTTTTAAAATTTCAATTAAAGTCACAACATTTAATCCAAATATTTCATCCTCGCCGCATCCAAATAGTTGTGGGGTTCTGGTGTTGGTATCAGATTTGCTCGATTCCAAGCCTTGTAAAAGGTCACATCATCCAACAATAGCAAACATTGTTCAGATACATTCTTTTAGCCTGTTCCTCGTCATTCAAGCTGTCTAAATCACTTTACTGTTTTAGTCTTAGCTGTTCCAAAGTGAGTCAGAGCTTAAACAGTCTGTTGCAAAATGCTCTGCAGCAGTAGAGAAGTTCACAATAACACACAAATGTTAATATTTGTTGTTACTGTGTTTGTACTTGCTAAACTCATTCAGAAAAAAACTTCAAATGAAACAGCTGTACATGCAGGAGATGACAGGATGTCTGTTTTTCTCCTTAGAAATGGAGAACATTGTTTGTCTTAAAACTGTACAAAATTGTATATAATTATATGAGTGGGCAGTAAAAATAACTCTGAAGTAAAACGATTCCCTGTGTTGCGTGGAACCTGATTTGAATCCTCTTTAGATCTCCAGCTGCCATTTTTTTGTAGCTAGAAGTGTGACTGATACACAGCACGAGCGGCAGTAGCTGCAGTTAGTCACCTGCAAAGGTGGAGGAAGGTGTGAACCACAGATTGTTCTCTATTAGTCTGGTTAGCGCATAATGCTCTTGTGCACATTGCAGGAGAAAGTGACGCTGATTTTCATATCACTGTCAGGCCACTGCAGCTCTTTTCTCTCCCATCCTGCTGAACTCACAGCAGCCGGATCACGAGACATGGATTAGGATCGGACTGCAGGCCTGAGAGAGTGATCTGCCCGACACACACACACACAC